GAAAACCAGACAAAATATAATCGTGCTGGAAACACGCAAGCTTTGTGGCTGAGAAAGTTGTTCAAACCCAATTAGAACAAAAAAAATCAGAATGTTGAATGCTGATTCTCAAGGTCTCTTTTATTTGGCATGTCCTTTGATTGGGCGAAATGCTGCTTGGGTTTATGCGTTGCGGTTATCAAATGTAATTGCGTGTTCTAAGAGATTTTATCTATTATACATTTAATGATTCAAGAAAAAGAAACAAGGAGACTCCAATTGTGCATCAACAATAAAATATATATTGAAACAATAACATACAAAAAAATCATGCAATGGTGTGTCGTAATTAAGGGAGAAAAAGTTTCTTCCCTTCAACTGTATTCTGAATAAGATTGAATGTTCAAAAGAAATTCTCTTGAATAAGAATGTTCAGGATTCTATGTTTAATAGAGTCTCATGTTAGAATAGAATACAGTTAATTAAGAAGTGTGTTGTTTTGAGAAAGTAAGAGAGTTCTGGTTCATGAATCTGTGTCTGTGTGTGCGTTGTGAGTAAAGTCGTGGATTTGTGTAGAGAGGCGTAAATAGCTGGACTCTACTGACGACTTGCGAGAAAGTGGGTAGGAGTTGTTGGCAATGATCTTTAACGTCTGACTGCACGGTTAAGACAGGAGCTCTTGAAGATTACATCTTGGCAGCAAGGAAAAAGATGAATGAAGAGAAACACGAGAGAGGCATATCCGTGTTTTGTTTATATAAGGCTGTGTCCCACGTGCCAGGCTGCAGCCTTGTTCGCGGGAAAATTATTCGTCGCCTGCAGGGGATTTGATTAGTCGGAATTGACCAATCAGCAAGCTATTTTTGAGGAGATTAGCCAATGAAGGCTTGCCGTATGATATGTATGTATGTGTGTGTGATGGCGATGATGATCGCTACACATTCCTCCAGGTTCATCAAAAGTAATAGGCGGACCCTAACCCTAACCCCTGGCGGACCAGATGTGGCACCATTTGGACGACCATAGCTGTTTTCGATTCATGGGTATTTATAACAAAGAATCCAATGAACCCGACAGGATTTCGAACTCGGATTTCCGATTTCTCCTCTTGTGCCATTACGTCGAAGCTTACCTCACCTGGTATTCGCAAACTACTGACCAAGCTCGATGTTGCTTAACTTCTTTGCCTACTTCAAATTCACTTATACTTACATCTATTGTATATTATTACATCTGCTATTATCACTTAAACTAAGCATGTCCACTGTTTTCGCGTGAAAACAGCATAGCGTAAATGAAAAATGCCACAAACTTAAAGAAAATAAAGTATTATCGTCAAAATGCTTATGTTATTATTAAGATGAAAGAAAAAAGTATTTTTTAATTATTTTTTGAAATTGTTTAATATTTTCTAACACGTTCAAAATTTTGGTTAAAGTCGCCTTTGTTTACGTCATCGCGGTGACGTTTAAAATAACATTGTTTTTTTGCGTTTTTTTTTTACCGTTGAAAACATATTGATTTGGAAATTCTTGTAAAAATAAAATAATTGTCCAATCTTAATGAAATTTTCAGGACTTATTCACAAATCAATGAAATTATTTTGAAAGATTTTTTTTTTAGAAAAAATTTTGGTAAAAATTATATTTTTTAAAATATTTACCCCACATTTATTTAATTTAATGAAATTTCGCCCAAAACCTTTTGGTTCCTGATCTTTTTTTTTTTTGTTAAAAGTAGGAGTCTTCGAAGATGGTAAATAACCTACTTTTTTTTTCAAATTTGAGCTATTTAACTGAAAATCTGCTCTGAATTGAAAAATAATGAATCAATAAAACTATGATATTACTTAATTAGAAAAGCTTTTAATTGCTTTTGTAAATAAGTAATATTAAATTTTTTATTGTCTGAAGAATAATTTTTTTTCTGATGAATAATTAATTTTTACAAGAATTTTTTTCGTTTTTAAGAAATTTTAGTTATAATAATTTATAATAGTTTTAAATCATGTAAAGCTCTGTATTAGGAGGGTTCCTCGATATTATGTAGTAAATAAGTAGAAAAAAAATTTACGAATCCAAAATTGCTAAGTTTAATAAATTTAGTTCCGCTACTTTTTTTAAAAATAATTTTTTATGTTGTATTTTTTTACTTAATACATTCCTTATTTCCATGTATGATATACAGAAATTGCCATTATTATAACAAGGTCACGTGATCTAAGGGTTTTGACCCTTTACGTGGCCTTTTCAAAACATTTCGTTTCTTAAAGATTGTATTTTCCGTTCAGCTTTAAAAGTGTAAACTTTAAATTTTAAATTATTTTTTCTTTTTTTCATTTACTATTTCACTAAATAATTTTATTTTATGTATTGTATTTTCATTAGTGTGTGTCATACTCAAATAGAATAATTTTTTTAAAAACTCAGACTTAAAAATTATGTCATTTATGGTCATCAGTAGTAGCTGTCATCGGCTCGTCAATAAATCATCATCAATTGATCGAACAGATGAACAGGACCGCTCGTTAATAATTGGTTGTATATTATTTTTTTATGCTATAAGTGACAAAGATTTCTTTGAAATCAGATTACTTTAACTTTAAATTTTTTAATTTTACTAAAATAACGTGTTAGAATTTTTTTAAATATTTTAAAAATCGATAAATTTGTGTTTGTTTACAAATTTTTTAAGATTAAGAAAATGGCCGTTTTTAAGAAAATTTAAAAATTTGAAATTAAATTTGACAATCAAATGTATATAGTTTTCTATCTGAAATACACCAGAATTGTTTAATTAATAGAAATTATTAAATTTAATTAAAGCTAAAATAAATCTTCAATGTTTTTTCGTTTAAAGCTAAAATGAAAACTTCAATATAGAAAATTTATGCCGAAATAGTGGAGGTACTTAGCTTAAACATTGCGCGAAGTTTTTAATGCTTTCTCTCTTCATGACGTAAGCTATCTTGCCTCACTACAGTTTCCAAATGTTTATGTAATGATATGATTTCTTGGAAATGATAGTTGATTGGTTTTCCGTTGCCTTCTCCGCGATTTTGAATTTAGAATTATCCTCTTATACTATATACCTCCCTAGACTAAAGATCCTAGTCTACCCTACTATTTAATCCATTGCTTGGCAGAGAAAAGTTCCAATCATACCTTTCCCAATTTTAAAGGTGGAAAGCCAAAATCTCGATTATTATTTTAGATAGATAGATAGATAGATAGATAGATAGATAGATAGATAGATAGAAACAAAGAGTAAGATAGTCACTCAGGTCTTGAATGGATACGGCATATAGAAGAAGAAGATGATGATGATCATCATCATCATCATCATGAAGACGAAGAAGAAGAAGATGATGATGACGAAGAAGAAGAAAATGATGATGATGATAAAGACGAAGATGAAGAAGAAGAAGATGATGATGACGAAGAAGAAGATGATGATAATGATAAAGACGAAGAAGAAGATGATGATGATGATGAAGAAGAAGAAGGAGAAGAAGAAGAAGAAGATGATGATGATGATGATGAAGAAAAAAAAGAAGAAGAAGAAGATGATGATGATGAAGAAGAAGAAGATGAAGACAAAGAAGAAAAAAAGAAGAAGAAGAAGGATATGACCCTAGAGATTCAAGAATGCCTTTGGGACGAGTCACCAAAAATCGCTACTGTAATTCGTAAAACATTTAATTCGTAAGAAAATAATACTGGAAAATCACTGGCCAGATTAGGAATTACTTTCATACCTACCAAAATTACTGAGCCGATTGTGAAGTAATTCTGTCCCTAGTAAAAATTAAGCGCTTTTCAGCACCCTGTATATAGACGCATAGACATGATGCCATTTAAAAATTGTAAATAATAAAAATTATATATATATATATATCGCGAACACACTGGCAAGCTTTACCAGAGAGCAAATCAAAGTACTATAGACTGGCATGGAAACTCTCCTGATTTAAATCCAATCGAGAATCTGTGGTCAATCTGCAAGAAAAGACTTCGTGGAATGGACATACGAATTACTAACATGTGCACTGGGTCATGTTTCATTGGGGAAAAAAAAAAAAATGAAAATAATAACGAAATTATTCGTTTTGTTTCAATTATATTGCATATATATATATATATATATATATATATATATATATATATATATATATATATATATATTATATTACAAGTATTAACCTTTTCCGCTACAGCGATTTTTAATATATATATATATATATATATATATATATATATATATAATTATATATATATATATGTAAAGAAATATATATTTAATTTTTATGCGTAATAGAAATATTTTAAGTACATTTATTTAGATATACAAAAGTGCATAGATAAATAGATAGATAGATATTTACTTATGTATTAGAATTTAAATATCCATATACATAAGAATAGTGCGTACATGACGCATGTAAATATATATGTATCCATATCTATCCAGCTATCAATCTATACAAATATATATATATATACAGAGTTTTGCATAAGTTATATAGCTACATATGTGTCTGCATGTGTAGGTGTATATATATATATATGTGTGTGTGTCTGTGCGTGTGTGTGTGTGTGTGTGTATACGCAAATAATGCATCCATGACACCGCTTCACAACATATATATATATATATATATATATATATATATATATATATATATATATATATATATATATATATTGCTAATACGAGACGGGATGACGTGCTGATAGAAATAATGGTTCATATCGGACATACATTTCCGGACAGAGTTCAGAATGGCCACCCTGATTTGGCGCTAAACGATCGGTCTTTCTCGCATAGATCCGACCATCGAACGGAAAAGCAAACGAACTGAACAACGCTGTCACCATTTTGCTAAAGAGTCAAGATTATCGAGGAAATGGAAACCTAATGGAGACAGTGGTGGCAATGGCGGGGCAAAGTGTAAAGGATACGCGAGAAATGTTTATGCCAGTTACTTGGTATGCTGCTGAGAGATGGGAGCACATACAGCGATGGTGGAAGTTGATGGTGGACGGCGTAAAATCTGATATATTGTTTCTATAGAGGCCGCGATCAGGAATTTGATGGTGTGAACGACGTGGCAAATCATGATAATGTTTGTGATTCTGGAAATCTTTATCGGAACGGTGTGGATTAATACTAATAATGACTAGTAGTAATGTGAAAATTCCATGGTTTTGCTATTGGAATTTTCTGTTAGATCATAATTAAGTTAATGATCGAATATACTTCTTGAAAGATCTAAAACTATAAAATATCCCTGGAAATTCTCCCATTTTACAGTTGAATATTTGAATTCAGCAACTTTTTTAAAAACATATTGCAATAACAATTTAAAGTAGGAATTGAGGTCATTATTTAAATAATGACCTGCATTCGTTAAATGAAAAGATTTGAAATTCACAACTTTTCTCTGAAGCAGACGTTAGACACACAAGAGTCTCTTTCTCTCTCTCTCTCTCTCTCTCTCCTCTTTCCTTTCTTTTTTCTTTCTTTTCTTTTCTTTCATTCATTTCTTTCTTTCATTCTTTTATTTATTTCTTTTATTTCATTTTTCTTTCTTTCTTTTTCTTTCTTTCTCTTCTTTCTTTCTTTTCTTTCTTTCTTTTCTTTCTTTTCTTTTCTTTCTTTTTTCTTTCTTTCTGTTCTTTTTTCCTTTCTTTTTTCTTTCTTTCTTTTCATTTCTTTTCTTTCTTTTCTTTTCATTTCTTTTCTTTCTTTTCTTTTCTTTTCTTTCATTCATTTCTTTCTTTCATTCTTTTATCTATTTCTTTCCTTTCTGTAATTTTTCTTTCTTTTTTCCTTTCTTTTTTTCTTTCTTTCTTTCTGTTCTTTTTTCTTTTCTTTCATTCATTTCTTTCTTTCTTTCTTTCTTTCTTCCATTAAAACCCAAACAGCGCCTTTAATAGGTCTTTTCAGTTTATCGTCACGATCAAAATGGCCCATTTTTTTATCTGAGATAATGACAGGGCGTAACATAATTGCTAACTAAGCTACTAAGGAACAAGCAGATGATGATGATAGCAATCAGCAGAAGCCGAGTTTGATAACGGATCGGAATAGAACATTTGATAGTATGTAATAGTACTAATCCTTCCGTGAGAAGCTGTCGCTATACAGGGTGCGATGGATAAATTGTCGTCTAAATGACGCTAAAATGAAAATAACATTGACATCTCATTTTAACAGATATATTTACCAAAATTACACAAAAAAGATCTTGAAATACAAAAGAGTAAATTTATTCAATAAAAGCAGCATTGGATTTAACCATGTCTTCCAGACGACTTCGGAATTTTCTGCTTCTCTTCAGGACGGTCTCCTTGTTTGAGTTGGTGAATACTGCCATAATCTTTGCCTTCAGTTCATCTTTGGTGCTATAAGGAGTTTCAACTGCGCCCCACACATAATAATCAAGGGTTTTGCAATCTGGACAGTTAGGTGGTCAGATGTAAAGACTGACGTGGTTGCAGAAATTGTCTGACAGCCATGACTGAGTTCACCTGCTTGTCTGACATGGTGCAGAGTCCTGTTGCCAGAAATAGGGTCTTCCAGCAACCATCTTCTTGACTCAGGACAGAACCACCTCCTCAAGGTACTCGATGTAGGCCTCCGTGTAGAGTTTGAGGCTCTGTGGGATGATAAAAGGAAGCATAATGCCGCCATCACACCTTTATAATCACCATTAGACTCATCCAACTCTTTCTAAATCCTCTGCACTGTCCTCAGATCGACACCCAAACACTCTGAAATATTCATATTGGAGCTTTTGGCGCAAATACCAAGCACTACAGCATGTCGTTTCCACAGTTCTGGCGGAGTTAATTGGGTCAGGGTGTACTTTTTCTCGCAGAACAGTGCCCAACGGACCTTACTATACTGTGCAGCCGACAAAAATAAAAAAGAACAATGCGCATGCGCGAAATTGAATATATAAAATGGCGTCAATTTACCCATCGTACTCTCTATACGCCACGTGGGGGGAACACTTCGACGTGGTGTAATGTTTTCGCGAGATCAATTACGACTGGTTAGTGAGATCAATCCTCACTAGGTGCTCCATATTTTTGGCCTTGTGCCAGAACTATGCTTCGCTTATTGAATAATAGAGAGGACTGCGTTTTGTGGTGATTGTGTTATTTATTACAGTGAATGGGTCTTGATTCGGATTTAATGGAGTAGGATAGACATTGTTGACCAGCTCTTCTCCTTCCAACCCTTGTGCCACATACAAATGCACTAATTTGTAAAATAAATATATGCCCGGGGTGGAGTGGGGATTCGGCGTGGTATAATGGTTAGCAAGCTTGTCACTTTCGTTCCTCACAGAGTGCACCATACTTGTGACACATATAAGCTACGCTTAGAAAATCAGTTGAGCACTTCCTCGTGGTGCAATGGTCAGCAAATTTCGCTTGTTGTATCAGTGACGACTCAGTGGTGTGTTCAGTCCTCTCTGGACTCTCCACACTTCCGGCCTTGCGCCACATCTAATCTATGCTTAGTAAATCGCTATATGACACAGGGAAAACTGGTGGTTTGGGGTGCGACTTGTTTCGTTGTTTTACCAACTCATCAGGCACGAAATATGATTAAGTTAAGCAACGTCAGTACTTAGATGGGTGACCGCTTGGGAACACCTGGTACTGTAATCAGACACCTACTACCTGGGTAAACTTCGATTTAGGGCACCTCGAGGTGGTATAATGGTTAGCAAGCGTGTCTCGCTAGAACAATTACGACTGGGTAATGATTTCGATCCTCACTGGGTGCCCCATACTTTGCGGCCTTGTACTGCGTCCGAGCTACACTTTGAAAATCGCTATTAAAGGAGTAATAAAAGTAATATACAGGGTCTCATGGGAGAAACAGAAAATTGCATGCAAATTCACAGCTCAAATTTAAAATAAGTTGAATATAATACTACGGTGTAAATACAGAAAATAGGGTGTCGGTAAGGGGGCCCCCAACATTTTGAATTACAAGCAAGTTTACAGTTTTAAAAAAGAAACGCTGGTTGACGCTTTGAGTGATAAAATTCGCTGAAACAGTTCAAGCGGGGTAATCAATATATAACATAAAATATGGGATATGAGAGCGAAATTTGGATAATACATTTATCCAGAATTAAAAAATTTTAAGAGAAACTTTTTTCTATAACTACAACCTAGCATGAGTTCATTTCGTTTATTAAGTAGTTTTAGATTATTAATATTTTTAAAGATTAATCTTCTTTCCTTTGATAGATACGGACATTGGCTTTTAAATTAAATTACGAACAAATTATAGTCCATTTACGAACAGTGGAATTATAGTCCATATATATATATATATATATATATATATATATATATATATATATATATATATATATATATATATATATATATATATATATATATATATATATATATATATATATATATATATATATATATATATATATATATATATATATATATATATATATATTTTATCGAACATTTTATAGTTGTTCCAACGAAAGAAAAGTGTATATGTTAAAAAGATGACGCAGTGGATAAAGGCGTTAGTTAGATCCAGTGACAGGACGCAAAGAGTGTGAGTTCAATACCCGGTTAAGGCAGTGGAGAACTTTCAGAGAGAAATTAACAGGAGATAACTGATAACTGACATCCATTAAACATGGCACATGGAACTAGAACAGTCTACCCCAGTGAGCGAATTTCAGTTCGACATTCCAACCACCTGAAGAAGGCCAGGGCGTACAACGGCCGAAACGTCGTAATAAATATGGCGACAAAGATGTGGATAATAGTCCGAATATTGTAAATAATGAGCTAAAATTAAACTGAACGAAATATTATCCCAAAATGAATAATAATTGTCAATGTTTCGTAATAAATCAGTCATGCTATTAATATTCATATTTTAATTCTTTCTTTTGATTCCCTTGTTTATAATAGAATAAGTTGCAAAGTCCAGTTCGCTTAGATAAAAGCAAGAGCCCAGTCAAATAACACTTTCCAAAAGTGATGGCATCTCTTAATGTCTGCCGTCAATACTAAATTTCCACAAGAGTGCTTTTGGGTGCATCACTTTTAAGAACAAACATGTGTCGCGTTCTTTTCAACGTATCATTGCAGAGAAATGGATAGCTATATTATATGTGGGCAGGGAACATTAACACGTGTCAAAATATAAAATGTCTATATGAATAGGTATCGATGTATTTCTATGTGAAAAAGGAAGATTTTGTGAGTTTGATAAGTAGTGACTTATACGGCATAGACTAAATAAGATGGCTGTATTTACCTTTGTGAAAGACCAAGGTGCTTTTACGAACGAGAAGATTGGGACGGAAAAGATATGATATATGAATTGGCAGATGGGATACAGGGGAACAGACGCAAAGTGTTCTAGAAAGCTCTCCTCTGTGTGCCTATATACATGCGGCTGTATGTGTGGAAGATGTATTTACAGGAGTAGGGTGTGGGGAGTGAAGAAAGTCGGAAGACGCAATAAGACCTGTTCTCAGGCAGAGATCTTGTAATAATATAATGCCTATTCAGAGTATCACTGTTTTTGTTGTTGTCAGAGAAATTACTTGTTAGGACGTAATGGCAGCAGTAATGACAGTGTCAGTGCTTATGGCCGGGGTTCGCGGATGAGAGGTTGGGATCTACATTCTGGGTCTGGAATTTGAATACAATACCGGAGAACTGGCGTCGGGGATGAGCAGGGTTAATCTGAGTGCCGTATCAGGACAAGCGGGGTAGGAGAAATACGGGAAGCGTGTTTGCTTCGCTTGCCATTATCCTGCATGAGTCTGCTACCTCGTTCTCGTTACAACGCCTAATGTATCCAAATTTTTCTTACTTAAATACATTTGACAGCGTTCAGCATTTAGGAAACCGGGAGACTCAAATCATTGGTCCCATCTTCATCTTTCATCGCCACCTCTCCGTCATCTTTTAGTTTTAATACAAGTCTTTTCCGCAGTGCCACGTACTTGATGTACTTACAAACCAGAAGAGGAACAATGTATTATCATTTTACTTAGTTAATGATACCAGCTTTATGGTATATATCTCAGTTGCATCAATCGGTGTTTAGCTTACTCCATATCTAAGGGTTTTTTTGTTTGTTTTGTTCTACAGATGCATAATGTTACCTGCACGCGACCGTTTGAAATCCTGTTGTCTGCGAAAGTAAATTCTCCTCATATTTAGTACATTACTTTGTAGCTATTTCTGCCTTCTCGGTTTTAAATGCCGCAGAGCGCAAGTTATTGGCTGACTTGGGAATGAAAAGTTTCTTATTGTGTTTATTCAGTATCGACGTTTGTTAAAATCAGGTTTCTTCTCATTTAAACACTGGATTGCCTCCCTTTATTTTGAACCTTGCAAGAGCGTAATGTTGAAATGATGCTGTCTTGTTTTTTTGTGTGTTAGTGACCCAAATGTCTTTCTTGAACTCGCCAGTTCAAGGAAGACATTTAATTTTTCTCTTCTTTTTAACATATATATATATATATATATATATATATATATATATATATATATATATATTAAAAAAGAATATTTTATATTAAAAAATAATTTACATATATATATATTCTGGGGTAGACTGTTCTAGTTCCACGTGCCATGTTTGATGGATGTCAGTTATCAGTTATCTCCTGCCAATTTTCTCAAGGAAATTGGCACTGTGGATAAAGGCGTTGGTTAGATTCAGTGACAGACCCAAAGAAGGTGAGTTCATTACCTGGTTAAGGTAGTGGAGAGCTTTCAGATTGCGAAAGAATCCAAGAAAAAAAAAGGTGGGGGATTAAGAAGACAAAAGTTAACTTAATGACACATGGCCAAGTGGATGATAGCGTGACTCGACCCAAAGAGTGGGAGTTCAATACCAGGCTTCAGCAGTGGTGAAACAAATAAAATTAAAGAGATGAGTTAAAGAGAAATAACTGAGACATCCGGAAGAGGCATGGCATATGGAACTAGAACACTCTGTCCCCAGTGGATGAAATATATAGGGTTCGATATCTGTCTATATCTCTGAGATGAGGTATTATGATTACTTGCATTATTTACATTATTCCCAGCGTTTCAGACATTTTACACTCCGGCCTTCTTGAGGCAATTTGGAGAGTTGAGTTAAAGAGACATTCCTGGAACTAGAACAATCTACCGTCCTCATCTTTGTCGCCATATTTATTACAACGTTTCGACCGTTGTAAGCTCCGGCCTTCTTCAGGTGGTTGGAATTCGCTCACTGGGGTAGACTGTTCTAGTTCCATGTGCCATGTTTAATGGATGTCAGTTATCAATTATCTCCTGTTAATTCCCCACTCCAAGTTCTCCACTGCCTTAACCGGGTATTGAACTCACACTCATGTGGGTCCTGTCACTGGATCTAACCAACACCTTTATCCACTGTGCCATGTGTCCTGTGTATGAATTTTTGGGTATTATAAACCTAATATCTTCATACTATTTTTACCAGTGCTCATATTGCAATTTTTGCTGTTATCATTTTTGTTTTACCAGAGCTCATATTGCAATTTTTGTTGTTATTATCGAGCGAGAAAAATTATCTAGCACGACACAGTGAAGCAACTTTACTAGCAGTAGACATAACAGCAGTCGGCATCGTAGATCTATGGTTTACCATGATAAAAAGAGTTGTTGACACAACACCAATAAATCTATAATGGTGTGACATAAATGGTCGACTGCTACATTTTCGCACTAGCGAAAATATATTGCAAAAATTTTTCGAAAATCAAAATATGGCCCGGTGATCTTTAAAAGCAAAATGATGTAAACGCGAAGCCAATATCAGGATCCGAATGCGAGACTGGCGTCTGCCGACTCGAATTCTTTTGTCTGACAAAACAACGTTTGTACTTTAGAGACGTTTTCAGCATTGTTTTTAACAAGTGATATGATGGACAGAGATGCACTTTGGTTTTGTTAGCAACTGCGGACATTGAAGGAGAGAATGGATGATTAACGATAGATGGTGAATTTATAGTTTGTTTTTTTTCTTTTTGCCTGGCTTTTAAATAAAGTCTGTAATCGACGGTGCATGAGTGGATTCAGGATTTGACACTTGACGAAAGGACGAAGCATAAAAGTGATGTATTTAATTAAAGCGTAGATAGATAGATAGATAGATAGATAGATAGATAGATATGAATAGAATGTGATAGATAGATAGATAGATAGATAGATAGATAGATAGATAGATAGATAGATAGATAAAAACAAATTGAAATGAAGAGATATAAAATGGAATGAGATAGATATGTATGTATGTACAACAATCAGTGAAAAGACACTGAGATTATGAGCAAGATAGATAGATAGATAGATAGATAGATAGATAAGCAAGAGACGAAGATAGATAGACAACAAACGGAGATAGATAGATAGATAGATAGATAGATAGATAGATAGATAAGCAAGAGACGAAGATAGATAGACAACAAACGGAGATAGATAGATAGATAGATAGATAGATAGATAGATAGATAGATAGATAGATAGATAGAAAGATAGATAGATAGATAATTTGTAGCCTGGGATAGATATATCAACATAGATAGATAGATAGATAGATAGATAGATAGATATGAATAGGATCGCTAGATTGTTTGCTTGTTATTTTTAGAATGAAAGGAAAAACACTCCGCACATAAATACATTATATATATATATATATATATATATATATATATTTTGTCTCTTTGACATTGACGCATTTAACAAAAATCTCTTCTAATCTTTTCACTTGTCAATGCACTTTAATTTTCAAACTCATGCTTGTTTTTGCTTCTTTCTGTTTGTGCTTCCTAGAAAATAAAAGCAATATTTATCACCCACTGATCATGTGCAACTTAAACATTTTCTCTTTCTCACTTGTTGCATATGTGGGCGTTTTGTCCGCCATGTTTTAAGACGTTATCAACCCTTGCCTGAGTTCCTTTTTTTAGTTACCTCGATGTTTATCAAGAATCTCTAAGAAAAGTTTAATTTTTGCATATCCACTTCGAACAAAATAATTAATTTGCCGCCAAACCTACATTATAAAAGATCAGATTCTCTATCTATCACCCGGTTTCTGTGTATGACTTTACACACACAGATATATATATATATATATATATATATATATATATATATATATATATATATATATATATATATATATAAAGGCTCAAACAGTAATATTCCATGTTTATAATTTATTACATTGGAATCGTAATCACGATCCAATTCTTCAGACTTACAAATTCAAAAAACGAAATCGGAAAATATAACTCCTGGTATAAAAAACAAAAATAACGGTTTAAATGCGTGAGATACAGATAAATATGAATTATTTTCAGATGCATAAATCACTACCGATTCGCTGACCTAAAATTAAAATTAAAAAACAGACACCGGAAATGTGTGGATACATTTGTGGTGACACTACGCACAATAAAAAAACGATATGATCTAAACTTAAAATCTAGAAGATGACAGAGATGGGGAAAAAAACGGGGGCGCAAACTAAAAATTATATTCTTACTCTGTCCTGGACATTGAGTTCTACCTGAAATCTATCCTCTTGGGAATTTATATATATATATATATATATATATATATATATATATATATATAAGCAAATATATGGATATAGATCCGACAGTATGAAGAAAAATATATACGGAAAAAACAAACAAAACTCCTTATATACAATTATGCTGTTTTAATGTTAATATGTCAACGTCGGACGTTTCGGTCTAATAAACCATCTTCAGGACATATTCATAAATATAACATTATCAATACAACATGACAAAAGACGATATATATTGACCACTAATATTATCAATATATATATATATATATATATATATATATATATATATATATATATATATATATATATATATATATATATATATATATGTATGTATGTATGTATGTATATGCCTATTTGCTTTGGATCTAAGTAACTGATGTGGGTTTGTGTCATTTGATGTGCACATGAAAGCACACTTTGACTGAGTTTGAAATAAGAGCTCAGAATAATGCATTATCCTCCCACTCAGTCTGAACATCTCCTACACTGGGCTTAACCATATGTTGTCATAAAGTTGGAGACAAGAATTTAATTTCTCAAACTCTAAAAGAATCGGATAATTATAATATTTATATTCAAACTTTCAAAGATTATTCAATAATAAATAAAATTATTTTATAAACATTATGAATATTATAGGAAATTATAGGAATTATTATTTTAAAATTATAGAAATTTCTTATAGAATTATAGATTTTATTATTATAGAAATATCATTATAAAATTATAGTTATTATTATCATAAAATCACAGATAATATTATTATAAAATTATAGGTATTATTATTATAAAATTATAGCAGCTTTATTACAAAATTATATATTTTATTATTATAAAATTATAGAAATCTTATAAAGTTATAGGATTTTTTTAATAAAACTATAAAATTACAGATACTTTATTATAAAATTAAAGTAAATTTATTATAAAATTATAAGGAACTTTTTATAAAATTATAGAAACTTTATTACAAAATTATAGATATATTATTATAAAATTATAGATTTATTATTATGAAATTATAGGAACTTTATTATAGAATTATAGTAACATTTTTATAAAATCATAGAAACTTTACTACAAAAATTATAGATTTTTTATTATTAGAAAATTATAGAAACTGTATTTTTAAAATTAGAGTAACTATTTACAAAATTATAGATTTTATTATTATGAAATTATAGGAAACTTTATTATAAAATTATACAAATTATTTTATATAATTATAGAACGATTATTATAAAATGATACATTTTATTATAAAATTATAGAAATTCTATTATAACATTATAGAAATATTATTATAAAATTATAGGAACATTTTTAGACCTCTCATTAAACTAAAATGTACATAGGTACACGAAAACTTACATACTCACAGTTTAAATGGAATTTAAATGGTCATCTATGTCTCTAGGGGGAGTTTCTCTTTTTGTTTAAAAACATTCCCTGGCTAGCAGGAAAGAAGAATAAGCCAAAATGTGCCACCTTTTGTAGCGATTTAATCATTCTCTGATATATAGCTTCTCATAAATGCCTTATTTAAAATAGACAAAGAATTTAGATTTGAAATTTGATCTGCTTGCCTTCAGCAAAGAAACATCTACCGAACTCGTGAAATAAAAACTGTTATGCCATAAAATAATCGGTAGACTTGTTCCGTTAATGTTCCATCTTAAACTGGGTCGAAAAGTGGGTCAATGATCCCGCATTATCTGACTAATTCTCAGCTTAAACAAAGAATTGTCCTCTACTCGTTAGTGAAGATGAATCTTACCCCTGATCCTTTGCTGGATAGAAACTTCACCAGTGATTAAAAAAAATGGTTTCTACAATAATATACAATACAAACGACAATGGAAAAGAAAATCCATACGCAAACCAAGACGACAACCGAAAACAAATGATGCTCTGTATTTGGTGAAATATGGATGCCGTCTCTCATGTTAAATCGTGTTAATTCAAAACAAAATAGGTAACACTTGGGTATGTTGTCGTCAATTTGAAGCATTTCACAAATATTTGAAGGAAAAGCTCTCATGATTGGTTAGTCGTTAAGGCATATTTGCTCTTACGCTGTAATACATGACGACATATTGTCTGGGTCACTTAGGAAAATATTATAGCTCTAAATCTGCAAGCTTTGTTTCATCCTCCTTATCCTTGAAACATTGCGTCATTTGTCATCTTTTCAGATCACAACATTTTTACAGGGAAAACAGTTTATTAATTGTGAGGAAGTTAAAACTGATATTGACTGTTTCTTTTTTTTTTGTTTGTTTTGTTTTTTTTTTTTAGAAAATATTTAAGACTGAGTGATTAACAATTTGCCAAATAGTTGGGATTATGTAATCGATAACGAGGGAACATATTGTCGTGATGAAATATATAAATTTAGACAAAAGAAGTATTTGTTTGTTATTTGTCTTCGAATGCGACAAGACTTTCTTTCAAACCTAATAGTTTAGATATATGGAAAATAGACGTTGTCAGTTTAAACAGACGACAGAAAGATATATATGTACAAAGAAAATTAGTTGATATAAAAACAGAAACAACAGTCGACTTGGTTTGGTTTGGTTTCTTTTACGGCATATCAACCTCAATGGGTTATTTAAAGCCAAGAGTTTTAATTTCTGGTAATATTTTTTATTTATCTATCTATCTATCTATCTCAGTCTGCTCATATCTATGTATGTATCTATCTATCTCAATCTGCACATATCTATCTATCTCAATTTGCTAATATCTATCTATCTATCTATTTATCTATCTCAGTATATATTGGTTTATTTTACGGCATATCAACCTCAATGGGTTATTTAATACCAAGAGTTTTAATTTCTGGTAATATTTTTTTTATCTATCTATCTATCTCAATCTGCTCATATCTATCTATCTATCTATATATATATCTATCTATCTATCTATCTATCTAAATCTCTTCATATCTATCTATCTATCTATCTATCTATCTATCTATCTATCTATCTTGCTCATAATCTCAGTGTCTTTTCACTGATTGTTGTACATACATACATATCTATCTCATTCCATTTTATATCTCTTCATTTCAGTTTGTTTTTATCTATCTATCTCAATCTGCTCATATCTATCTATCTCAATTTGCTAATAACTATCTGCCTATTTTTCTATCTATCTCAGTAAATAAGGGTTTGTTTTACGGCATATTAACCTCAATGAGTTATTTAATACCAAGAGTTTTAATTTCTGGTAATATTTTTTCAAAAAGTATTTCTGTAATATGTTTCCAAAAATGTATTGCTGGTAATTTTCTTTTTTCAAAAAAAGTATTACTGGTAATAATGTTTTGCTAGTATTAATTTTTTTTTTCTTCAAAAAAATGTATTGCTGCTATTAAAACTTATTTTTACAAGTTTTGACCCCTTTTGGGTGTTAACTATTTGCCCATAGCTGGGACCCTAACCGGTGCTACCACCTCGGGTCAAGGTGGACCTGGGAACACCAGCAATTAAGAGGTGGTTCCACGCAAATTAAAACCTCCTGATCAGAGGCCTTGCTGTCGGATGTAGCTCATCTTCTGACCCAGGACGCGGATGTAGGTTATCGTCTTATCCAGGACGGCAGTCGACTTGAATAGACTAAGTAATCAGCTTGAATTTCTCAATCCAAAAGTATTTTATCTTTTTATAACGAATGATATTTTTAAGATTTATCCGAAATTCAATTGTTCCAACGATCGAGTTAAATGATTTGCACAGTTCTCAATGATGTACTGGGACTGTTCATTTGTTACCTTTTTTTTTTTTTTTTCATTGCTCGTATTCGGTGTATTCAATCAGTTTGTCTCTTTCTTTTCACAAATGTCAATTATTTTCTCTAGTTTCTTTCA